AGTTCTGCATTCAACATACCACGTGACACACAAAAATTGATGTTTATCTGTGTTTTTTTAATATTTAGTTTTAAATTAACAAACTAAGTAATGTATTGTTCTAAAATTTGAATTATTATCTACAGTTTGATACCAAACTTGTTGACATAAATTAATGAAATAGTAGTTCAGTAAAATTTTTAATGTGAGTCAACAAACAAGATGACATGGCCTTTCACCTGTGACCCGTCCTGAAATGGTTAAACAAGTACAAAAAGGTCATGTGGTCAGTCAAAGCTCATCGCAGTTTACATCTGTTTCTACTTTAAGTTTATTGTTTTATTGCCCTTTGAACTGTTTCTAACTAATAATTCTGCCACACAAGTTATAAATCACTCGGCAAACAAGTAACTTGTGTTACTCTGTTGAATTATATAATGCTATATACTGTTAACTCTCAATGAAACTTAAGCCTACTTTTTTATATTAATGGTACTACTACACTAAATAATGTTTTATGTTACAAAATATAAGAACTCGGAATGATAACACGCAAAAACCAAACAGTGTCATATAACTATCATAATTTTTCTGGCTTTCTAACTGTATGATAAGAGCCTTGAAAAATTTAATCAAGTTAGTCAATATGATTCCCGTGAGAAAAAATTTGAAACTGAAACAGGAAATTGACGATTCTGTGTACAGAAAACAATGTTATATAATATACCGTTTTAAGGATTAAGACTTGGGCTTTCTATTAGTTATAAATAATATAGTATAAAATGTTGGAAATAATTATTAACAATTTTTAAAATAGAGGATGTGGCAAGTGGTTCTGATTTTCTAGCTTATGGCTCTGTAAACAAATAAGATTGAAGACTTTAAAATTATGCTTTGTCTAAATAGTAGCTATACTATAATGAGTAGTTTTCATTAAATTCCATTCTTCTCTGAGGGGTAATAAATAAATTACAGAAGAGCAAATGTCATAATTATCATACTTGGGGAGATTGATTTAAATATTTCATATGAAATTAAGAATTTAGAACTTATATTAAAATTTGATTTATTAACTACATTTTGATACCATGTTTATTCATATACAATGATAATAAAGTAACTAAATTTGTGACGTGCACTTTGACCTACCAGTTAGTGAGATGGTTAAATGTAAGTACCCATGTTATTAATCAGAGTGGTATGAGGTGTTTGTTAAGTGAAACCTCTGTGTATTGTCGTATTACAGATATTTCTAATCCCTAAAATGGAGCATGTATGTTCAAAATGTCTTCATCATTAAGTGTTCGGTTGTACATTTAGCTGATCTGGTGGTGAATAAATTATGTACTAGGTAGGTAGCATAGTTACATTCTATTCATTATGTATTCAATGCAAGAGGTCAGTTTATTCTTCCCATCTGATTTCATAATATCTGTGTAAAACCTTTCAGTATCTCCACATGTTACTACAAATATTGCCAGTCAGGGATCTGCGCACAATTTCTCAGCAAGAGGTTCTACTGGTCCTCCTGTCAGATCACTAAGTTCTGTCATGGTAAACATTGATTCCCGCCATCATGTGGCCTTTCATCCTTTCTTTACAACAGCTAATAAAGGTTAGTTACTTGGCACAAAGGTACTGTTCTTGAACTTGTGAAGGTATTATTCTGTAGAGTTCAACTGTTGTCAAATTTTGCTAAGTGGTACGGCTGGGGAAAATGAATATTTTTTGCTCTTATTTGCAGTCTTGAATACTGAATTACAGCTTTTATTTACTTTTAAACATATCATTTTGATTATAAAATTTTGAAAAATTTCATGTACACAAATTTTGGCTATTGTGGTTTAAACAGTTATTTTTCTCGGAACTTTCCTTAATGCTCATTACCTTTTCATAACAGTTTTCAGTAATTTTAGCTATCATGCTTTACATTAAAACATGAAACAGTTTTATAAATGATGAGTAAAAAAAAAATTATTATGAACTTAACAGTTAAGAGTAAAAAACAGTTATTAACAATTACTGCCTTCTGAAAGGAAATATTTCAAGTCACACACACAGGTTGATGTCGTAAGAATTATAAAATTTTTTGCATTATCGTGTATGTTGTTTAGTCATGCAATAATCATTTTGTTGGCTAAAATTTTCAATCAAAATTTACTAATAGAGAGTAGTAAAACTGACTTTGGAGTATTTGAGGAAGTGTGTTTCAAATTACTGAATACACCTGCTAATAGGAGATAAATTAAGGAAAATATTTTTATGTCTGCTTGCTTTTGTTTCAGTTAACCTTAAGCTTATGAGCACCCTTTTCTGTGCATATCACAAGATTTTACTGAGTTACATTCAAAATTTAATTAAGCAACTTTAGTATCATTGTATGTTAATAAAATCAGCATTAGAACTATGTTATAATTCATTGTTTTAATTCCTTTTATTTAAAAACAAAACTCATAATCTTTGGTTTTGCCGTCCTGTGACAAACAAGCATTTACAAGTCTTAACTTTGTCTCTGTAACTTAAATAATCTTTCATGTATGCTAAACATCTATGTCTAAACAGAAACAAAGCTAATTGCTCTGTTTGTACATCCTTCTTTCAAATACCTTAAGGCAAGTTCAAAGAAAAGAGAAATTTTGTGCGAACTCTTGGCAAAATCCATGCCTACTTTCTACACATAGTCTTGCAATATCACGCTAACTCTGCTTGGTTTTGTAGATATTAATAATCAATAGAAAGAGCTCATTTTAAACTACAGTCTCCCACTGGATATTTTAAAATTGGTGCACAGAATTCCTTACAAAGTAAGTCAAACTGCTTTTAGCATTGTTCCTCACCTTCAAATATGTTAGTTAGATAGACACTTAATTTGTATTTAGGTTTTAGTCTTATGTTGTAGTTAATTATGTGCTATTTGTTTTTAAAATGCACATTCGGTTCCTGAAGCTTAGTATAGTACTCGAGTGTAACAACATTCTGCCAAAGGCTAAAGTATTTCTACTGACAATACCTTAATATTGCCTGAGGACACCCATCAATGTGTGTCGCAATAAATAATAATGTTAAAGGATAAGAAAAAAAAATAAAATATTAGAAATAAACTATGTGAGAAAATGTAAAGAATTTCAACTAAGAATATAACAAAAACAAGATATTTTAAGATTATTTGACAAAAAATTAAAAATATGTAAATTTTTTTCTATTTCTTAATTTTAAACATTTCATCGCACTATACGTTGATGATAATACTCAATGTTCAGTCTGAGTGCAAATAACTACAATAAAAACATGAAAAATATTTAGTTAAAATACTTCATTAAAATAATCTCATTCTTTCTGTAGAAAATACATATAAGTTTTAACAAAATATTTCTGGTTTTGTGAAGATATGTAAAGAAATTTCAAAGTTACTGTATGTATATATATTGTTGAACTTGTATCATCCTCCAAACAGTCTAGGCCCTATGGACCTAAACCGTAACCTTAGAGGTAAAGAAGGCTTCTTATACTCATTAAAAAATTTTCTCATATTATACAGTGTAATGTTAATTTACAAAATCTTTATCAAACATCTAAATATTTTAACATGCAGTTAGTATTTTCTGATCATCTAAAGCCCTTTGTTGAATAATATTTTATTTAAAACTGTGAACTAAAACGTAGTCAGAGTTTTTATTTTCCACGTGCCTTTTTCTTTTGGAAAAGCAGGAATTTCCACAGATGTATTAGTGACAGTAGCCTCACCAACAAACCCTTTGTGCACTTCAGCCAGTACTGCAGCATCAGCAGTTAGCCTAGCTAATAGTTCCCTGGTTTCATCTCCACATGGCACTCTGCATGGAACTGGATCACTTCCAAATCTCAGTACTTCTCCACGACCCAGTATCCTCAGGAAGCGTACTATTGATGGGTAAAGTATCTTCTTTTGTCTGTCCAGTAGAAATATGTGATCATCCAATAATCTGTATTAAAGTAAAAGCTTTTGTATACTGTTTCTTAAAGATATAATGCCATATGTTTTTGTGTATTTACTAAATACTCAACATTAATATTTGTATTTTAATAGTTACTGAAAAAAGAAATTATAGTTAAAAAAAATCTTTTTGGCATACAAATGTTTGAGATTTATATCTTTTTTTGTTGTCAGTTAGCTATTTCATTTTAGTGTTCTTTGTTCTCTTTAATGAGTATTTAACTATTAATGGTGTAAAACTAGAATGTTTTAGTCTTTTATACAGATTATGAAAAATGATTCACTGTTAAAATAATAACAGCTTTAGAAATAAATTGTGTTGATACTTTAAATGCATTGGCTTTAACAAATAAGTGTTTGTCTGAGCTAAAAAATTATGTATGTAAAAATACAGTAATGGAAATAATTATGGAACACAAGAGATACATTTACAGGAGTTACAGACAGTAAGTAATGGTAATGGTGAATTTATTGATGGTATAAAATATTATCACAGAAAAAAGTAAAGAAAAGTGATTAAGTTGTACAGTTCACCAGTATTTTGTACATGAGCCCTTTGCTTTACACAGGACATTATACCTTATTTTCATGCTGACATGTAGTTAATCAATGTATGATTGTGGAATATTGTTCCAAATGCCATATATTACTCTACAAAATTATTCAAAGTTGCTTGATCACCTAGTGATCTTCTCAGTTTTTACGTAACAAATAGAACCTGAACAATTTTTTATATTTGAACTTTGTGTTGACCAACCCAAGATTATATTGTTTCATCCAATTTGCTGTACTTTTGATCATTCTTTGCTTGAAGATGAATTGTGTTTCTGAGGGAATGACATAATGGTTCAGAATAAGCCAGTATTTGTCAGCATTCAGGGTTCCATCAATTTTGTGTAGATAACTGACACCATTTGCTGAGATGCTACTTCAAACTTTTACTAATCTCCCACCATGTTTCAGTGTAGGTGTTGTACATTGGCTATGATGTCATTCTTCTTTCTGTGATCTAACAAGTTATCATTTGTTATTGATGAATAAATCAAACTTGGATTCATCTATAAAGAGCATACATCTCCAGCTTTTCTAATTCCATTGTTTGTGATGTGATGCCCAATTCTATCTTTTGGTTGCCTATTTAGCAGCAGTTTTCAAGCAGCTACATGTCCATTGAGATCACTTAATACTCTTGTATATCTTATTACTCTTGAATTAACATACACATCTATATATTCAGCAAGGTCATTGGTAAGATCTCTGTTCAACCATCATCTATTACTGGAGGAAAATCAGTAACAATTTAAGCTCTCAGTATACTCTGGTCCAATTCATTTTCACACAATAAATGGGTGGTATTCCCGTAATAATTGCATTTTAGACTCATTTTCCTCAATATTTCCATAATTACTTCCAATACTGCATGTACACAGCGTGGTCACAAGTAAATAGACACCACCTTTTCAGAAAAAATGAAATTGTTCAGTCATATTCACATGAATTGATATATTTATAATTTAATTAATATCTAGTAAATCTTCCTTTCACTTCGTGGAGTTCATTGATCCTTTGGGGCATCGTGAGAATCATCTCGTCCAAATTTAGACTGTGGGATTTTCACCCACTCTTGCTTCAGAACTTGGAGTAGATCGCTCTTCGAAGTTGT